GTAGAATTGTGGGTCATAACCCATGGCAGTGACTAATGATCCACATTCAGTACAGTGAGTGGTGCAGCTGAGAGGGCTCAGTGTCCTGAGGGTGCTTCAGGACTTCCTTGTGCCAGAACACTTGGTCAGAAGTGGGTAACAAAACTTCAGTGCTTTTCAATCAGCAGGTCCAGTTTTCTCTGTGGTGTCAAAATTTTAAACAGAAAATAGAAGCCTGAAGATGAATTGACTGTTTCTTTGGCAAAGATCTGCATCAGGCAAGGCTGGATTGCAAAGCAAGGGGGGTTTGCATTTCCAGTTAACAAAGAGATGCTGCTGCAGCTTCTAAAAATCACTTGGTGGTGTGGGGATGGGGAGTTCCTTTCAGAGTGATCACCTGGGGAGGTGGATGGGATACTCTCTGTTCAAGGTGTGCATTTGATCTTTTTGTTGTCTGCTGTTGCTCACAACACACCGAGGCACTGTGGCTTTATCCTTTGGTCACTCACAGAGTTGCTCTGTGCCAGCCTGGGGCCAGTTGCCTGCTGGCCTCCCCAAACCACTTCAGGTCATTTGTGCAATTGCTCTTTGCAGATAAGAATTAATTGGCATGATTATTTTTTTCTTGGTCTTTGGATGGGTTCCCCACCTGCAGGAAAGCAATTCCTCTGTGTCAGTGACTGATTGCTGAGCCAGAAGCTTTCTGCCTTGCAGTTGTAAGAAATGCTGACTGGTTCTTTGGGTCGTGTTAGGGACCAGGAAGATTGTGGTTAGAATGGACAGGGTAATTAAGCATTTCTACAAACGAGCTGCTGGCCCAGTGAGCCACTGGGTGGTTTTGGCTTGTACATTGCTCACTTCTCTTCACTGTGATCTGTGTCGCACTCTCATGTGGCAGGTCAGGTAGCTCTGTTCACCTTCCTTCCCATTCCTCCTACAAAAACATGTTCTTCTGGGTGTCTTAGGCTTTTTAGGAGTATAACACTTTCCAGCTTTATTACTTAAAGAGATCTGAAAGCCATCCATAAAGGAAAATATCGAAATCACATTTGAGGTGCAGCTCTTGATTTTTGTCCTGCTAAATGTTAAAGTCACTTCAGGAACTGGCTGGGTTCCTGGGGAGCTCCCCACCATCCCGACCATTTGCTGTTTTCAATATTTTGCAGTAATTACACCATGCTTTTTTAACACTTTTCCCTTGACCAAAATGCCCTTGTGAGAAAATGACTGAATCACAGCAGGAGTCCTGCTGGCTCTTACACACATCGTTAAATTTTAGCACGTGAGGAGCTCCAGGACGGTTATCGGGATTACTTCAAAATGTGGCTCTGGGTTTGAGGCTGTTTTTCCTGCTTACAAAGGGTTTCTCACCTAGGCAGTGGAAAAAAATGTGCCTGTCAGGTGCAGGGATATTAACATGGGAAATCATTTTTCATTCAGTTGTGCAGGGTCTGGTATTTGAAGGGCTTATTTTGTTCCATCGCACGTGAACGTTCCCTGAGAAGTGGTTTTGCCAATTAACTTTGTAGGATTTTTGTTTAACAAAAATCAAATCTCACTGGAAGCTTGTGACACTTGCTGTAATAAAAAGATTATGGATAGCTCCTAATGGCTTGTAAAAGCTGTTTAATGCTGGTTGTGTCAAAGTAAGCAATTAGGGTCACTTAATCTACTTGATTATTCATCATGTTCCTCTAATAGTCTTCCATGCTTTGGAGCTGTGAAAATGTGCATCTTGAGAAGCTGCTGCACCCCTTTGTAGCTCTCAGTACAGGGCACATATGTAATAAGAAAACCCAAGAAACTTGATGCTAGGACAGTTTAGTACCCCCAAGCACAAGCAGCCTGTAAATGAACACCCTTGTGTTGCTACAGCAGAGCTTCAGTAAAAAAATGAAAAAGTCTAAAAATATGTAGTCGTTTAAGGGAAGTTTGGTCAAAAACCCCAATATTAATAGGTTATACTTTACACAGTACTTACATGTTTCTGTTCCACTCAGGCCAGATTGTTTAAGGTTAGGGGATGCAGATAAGGTCTGTCTGCTGATCCTTAACTCCTGTGCTGCAGTCAGGTGCTGCTGTGTAATCCCATGTGGACTGGATAACTTTGGGCTACTTGGCATGAAATGCAAGGAGTGCTTTGAGACCTTGCTTATTGTCAGTGGCAATTGCAGAAATTTGGAGAGAGGATCAAATTTTGGTCAGTAATTTGTTTCTGTCCTGAATAGTTAAAGGGGGTGCAAAGCAGACAGAGGAGAAGGCCTTTTGCTTACGCTCAACTGGCAGGGAAAAAATAGTGTGGAATGGGATGTGTCTGCTGTGCAGCTCCAACACGAGGGCCAGGCTGGGTTCAAGGAGTGGATTTCTGGGGAACCCAGAGACCCAGAACAGCACTGAAGAGTTGTGAGTTGTTCACATGTGTACCTGCCCTGGTTCCTGGTTTATGCAGCAGGGCCCAGACCTCCACGTGGGCAGGTCGGGGTGACCTGTGCTTGTGGCTTTTTGCGGTCACAAAGTGACTAAATCTGCACCAGTTCAGAAAAACATGGGCAGAAAGATCTCAGCCTTCCTCTTGGAAATGAGTGGAGCCTCTGACAATGGGATCTGGTGTTTGCTCTGCAGTGCTGGTCATTAAAAGGCAAACAGACCTTCTGCCGGTGTTAAATCCCATTTCCCAGAGCAGCTCAGTGGTGCTGGGACCCTCAAAAAGGAATTTCAGTGTAGACTGTAAAAATCCATGTCAATGGCTGCATTCTCTGTGCTGTTCTATTATGAACAGGACAGCAATTATATCAGCTTGGTGAATTTACTACTGGATGTTATTAATGAATTAATGCAAACTAACAAAGCTGTGATTCACATAACGGAAAACACTGAAGTAGCACCAATGCCTTTAACTTGTGTGAACTGAGCAGCCATAGGGGTGGTGAAAAGTGCTGCTGGCCCGGTGGGAATTCACCTGGCTGCTCTCCCAATCTGCTGGTTTTCACTCTCTGGGGGTGTGTTAGGAGATGGCAATCCCTGGGTAATCTCAGCCAGCAGAGCCCTCAGGATCCCGGACTGATTGTCAGTGCAGCAGGCACAACATTTCTGTAGCCAGAGAGCCGAGGGATAAAAACAAGCTGAGAATCAGGGAGTCATAACTGACTCCCTGATGCTCCACATTTTCTGTGCCAAACATATGTTGGTATAGAAGAAAGTCTGATTCTAAATACCAGAGTGTGGGCAAGATTTAACTAAAGTTTTCTTTAAAAGAAACCAAAGCTCTAAACTGTTGCTATATTTTGCTGCATCTGATGTGCGTATGGGGTTGTATAAACGGACTGAACCAGGATGGAACTGTGTTGTAGCTGCCTGTAAGGAATGCTGGTACAATCCCAAGGGTAGAACTGAGGTTTGCAGTCCCTTTGCAGGGAGCAGGCACTGTGTTCTGTTCCTGAGCAAGTGGGAAATAGATCTACAGTTGAAGAGCTGTTGACTCAGATGTGCAAAACTGAAAGTTTCAATTTCGAATTTGCTGCTGGATGTTTGTTACAAGTTGATTGGTTCTGTCGGAAGTGTTAAAATGTTTTATGTCTTCCGAGTTCATAGAATGGTTTGGGTTGGTGGGACCCTAAAGGTCATCTCACTCCACCCTCTGCCAAGGGCAGGGACACCTTCCACTATCCCAGGTTGCTCCAAGCCCCATCCAGCCTGGCCTTGGACACTTCCAGGGATGGGGCAGCCACAGCTCCTCTGGGCGATTTTTTTATTAATAAACAACAGTGACCTTCAGTGCTGTAGAAAAAGCCCAAATAAACAACAACGGAACCCTCTTCTCCACAAACCATGCTGGAGAACCCGTGACGTGACGTGGGCTGCTGCCATGATGTCTTTGCAGTAGTGATGTTGGTATAGGGGCACGAATACAATTTAGCACCCTCCTCTCAGTTTATAGCCGAAAGTGTTTCTTAATTGTTTACTTCCCAATTGTGACAGTGCCTTGTCCTTGTAACAGCTAGTGAGGATTTGGATCAGGTAAAACACTTTAATTGCAGATACTTGACAAGCTGAGTGCAGTTAATGCTGTCTGTTTGGTAGCCTGCGGTATTTATTTCCAGGTCGGGTCTCGGTGTTTCGGTGCTGTCCCCTGGGCCGGTCCCCGCCGTGGCCGCGCCCTCGGAGCAGGGACAGACGGACACAGCGCTCGGGTGTCTGGGCGTGTGTCGGGTCGCTCGCTCGGGTTTTGTGCCCTAGTTCTTGAGAAAACTGGGACTGAGCCGAGGAGGTCTGTGCACAGATACAGCCTGGCTTACCTGGAACCTGGGAAAGTGAGGCGCTGTGCCGGTTTGCCAGGCACGTTACAGAACTCCGAGATGGCGAGTTACGTCTGGGTTTAAGGTGACCCTCTGTCAGAGGTGTATGAGGGATAGAAATTATTATTATTATTACTATATATTATACTATATCTATTTTAAGGCTGATTTTGAGAAGGTACTCAGCCCTCTCCAGGTGTTTCGTGCCCACCCTTTAGCACTGTTTGTCTGCTTGCATTTATTCCATTCTCGACTGTCCCCCCCGCCCGGTGCCGTCCCTGCGGGCGCTGCTGGCGGCGGGCAGGTGCGGGGCCTGGGTCACAACCCCCTCGGGGGGTGCCAGCAGCCTCCCGCGGGTGCCCGAGGCCCGTGAGGGCGGGCAGGTCGGGCCGCGTTGTCTCTCCCCGAGCCGCCCCGTCCGTCCCGTCCCCGCCGCGGGCGGGAGGCGCTGCCCGGCCCGGCCCGGCCCGCTCCGCTCCCGCGCGCGGCTCCGCTCCGCGTTTTCCGGGCCGCGCCCGAGCGCTGTCGCGCCGGGCTCGCGCCGTGCGGGGCCGGCGCCGCCCGCCATTGGCCGCGCCGCCATAGCCCCATGGGCGTGCGGGCCCGCCATTGGCCGCGCGGGCCGTCCGTCAGCGCGCGCGTGCGTCAGGCCCGGCGCGCGGCCCCGTTCCCTGCTGTGTGCGGGGCCGGCGCGGGGCCGGTGCGGGCGGGGCCGCTCCTCGCTCGTCCCTCGCTAAGATGGCGGCGGCGGCGGCGGCGGCGGCCGTGGCGCGGCTGGAGGGCCGGGAGTTCGAGTACCTCATGAAGAAGCGCTCGGTGACCATCGGCCGCAACTCCTCGCAGGGCTCGGTGGACGTGAGCATGGGCCACTCCAGCTTCATCTCCCGCCGCCACCTCGAGATCTTCACCGCCGCGCCCCCGCCGCCGCCGGCCGGCGCGGACGGGCCGCCACCCCCGCCGCAGGGGGACCCCGCGGGCGGCGCGGGGGGCGACTTCTACCTGCGCTGCCTCGGCAAGAACGGCGTGTTCGTGGACGGCGTGTTCCAGCGGCGCGGGGCGCCGCCGCTGCAGCTGCCGCGAGTGTGAGTACGCGGGGCCGGGCCCGCCCGAGCCCGCGGGGGCACATGGCGGGGCACGGCCGGGAGCGGCCCCGGCCCCCCGCGCCGCCGCCCTGCCCTCCCCGCGTCCTTCCCCCGCACCGACCGCCGGCACCCCGGGCGCCGCTCTCGGGCTTCAGGGGACCCTCCCGGGCGGTTCTGCACCGTCGGGGGGCTCCGGGCTGAGCGTCAGAATCCTGCAGCCCCCCCGGGGCTCTGGCAGAACGCAGGGGGGTTGTTCTGGTTTTTTGTGGCAGTTTCCTTGCCTGATTTCAGCGTTTATTCTCACGGGTAAACCCAGCCGTCCACGTGAAATGCTCCTGCTGGCCTTAGCGTTTTCGAATGTTTTCCTTACGTGACAACAAATGTATTAAGGGGCTTTAAGCGGTAATACATTCCTTTGCCATTACCAAACATTAACTGTCTGTGCAGAATGATTTTCTAGGGGGATACGTGAGGCCTTGCCCGCGACATTTAAGGGTGTGTTGAACTGTAAATAAGTGATCTGTGCTCTCAGGAGTCGCATGTAGGAAAAGTGAAAGTGTGTTGGTTTAGTGTATTTTAGCTGCCTTGACTAAGAAATACCAAAAAGGTTACGAGTGCTGTGGCTTTATAAAGCACATGCCATCAGTGACACAGCCTTAATGCCTTACAGGCTTTTGAACTGTGTTTAGGACGTTGGTGGTGTATATTTTCTGCTTTGTTGGCTTAATGTTGGTGTCCCCACCTGGTTCCTCTGCGAAAATCAAATTGTCTTACCTTGCTGCTTTCTAGGAAATGCCTGTTCTGGGCTTTAACAGTGCCAGCGTCTGGAGAGTTGTATAATCCTGAGTATAGTTGGAGGACTTGTTTGACCTTTAACTGTCACTTCTATTTTTGCTTTCTGCTTTTTAATATTAATAATTATTTGACATGTGGTTAGTCTGTATTTTAATCTAACACGTTTATGAAATGCAGATCAAATACTTATATTCTTTGTAAACAGTTTGATGTAATATACTAATTGCAAGCACAATTGTGCATGATATATGTTGATTGCAAACAGTCTAGAATTAGTTGGAGTAATTTAGTCAGTAACATTCTGTTAAATGCTTAAGACCTCAGGAAAAAAAAAGAAATACAGCTTCTTCATGCTGTCCACTGACTTGTAATTTATTCTAGTTCTTTCCATCAGTGTCGCTTTTCAAGTGGAAAGAAAATTGGGAAGGGTTTTTCGTGTGTCACTTTTTAATTGAGCGCTGATGAGAAGTTGCTTGTAGTTAAAATTTCTTCCCCGGTGCCCGTGGGTGGTGGTGCAGGAACCGGCATTTGCTCGGAGGTGACACCATTCCTTGGGCTGTGCACACACGGAGCTTCCCATTTGCAGGGCTGTGGACTGGGGGAAGTGGTGATCTCCTGCTTACAAAATGTAGGTGTGATGGGCCATCCAGTCTGGTAAATGAAAGGTGCTGTGCCTTCAGCCCTGCAGGGGAGTGGTGAACGAGGGGCTCCAGTCACTGTGCAGGGGGTTGAGCTTCCCCCTGAAGGGCAGGGAGAGTCCACAGGGTCATAATTAGATTGGTGATCAGGAGCAAATGCTGCTTCGTTGCTTTAAAAAAAAATAAACCTGTTTATAAAACAGAAGTCTTACTGGAGTTGAATGGGGAAATAGTAGTTTCATTATTTGCAAAGCTTTTTTTTTGTTTTTAAACAGGAGGCTTCAGGCAAATCCAGAGTCCTGTCTGCTTCTAACAAGTCCTTGCTGTGAATTGCTGATGACTAATATTGTTTGTAGCTGTGTTCTTGAGTTTCCTTGTAGATTTAACTGGTCACACTGAAGATGGGCTCCTGGATTTTAAGAATCAAGCTTAGTTGCTTCAAACATTAATGGCTGAAGCATGATTGGAAAGCGAGTAGTTTTGGTGTGAGTTCAAGATTGATGATTGCCAGCCTCCAGCTGAAGTAATCACCAGATCTATTTTTGTTGTTGTTTAATCCTGCTCTGTTGCCAGTAATAAATATGCTCTGCCTATGACTACACAATCATCGGAAATTTTAATGGCAGGTGAAGTTTAAAGAATTCAGGGTGGCCTGTTCCTTCTGTTTGTTTTTAAGTGATCCTGGAAACCAAGAATGGAGGGTCCATCCCTGTTATGTCCAATTAATAGTGACTTAAGATGTCATCAAGTAAAATACTGCTGCAGACTTGAAATGTCTTATTTACTTGTCACTAATAATTCTATTTCTGTAGTTCCAATGTCTTTGGTATTTATTTTTTTTTTGTTTCAGCACAGTGTTTAAATATGACTGCATTAATAATGATGTTGAGCTTCCTGGTTTTGGAAGGGAAAAACAGAAATATAATTTCGTAGTCTCCTGCAAAACACACATTTTTTTAACATCTGGGGAAATTAAATTATTAATGTTGGAGTATGCACTTACCTGTAATAAAAGCATCTTTCCTTCTACAGATAGAACTGTCACGAAACATGGAATTACTGTGCATTAAAATAAGTGTTCTGGTTGCTATTTTTAATTCTTCCCTGGAAGCCTCACTCACAATTGAAATGTTGAAGTTACCAAGCAGGAGGTAATAGCAGTGGGAAGTGTGTTTTTGTTTTTCCAGTTCTTGACAGACTCCCATACCTACTTGTGTATGTACAGACCAGCTGTCGGCTCGGGAGATGAATCCAGTGGGGGTGGGGAGAAAAGAGCCATTTTTGTGTGTGTCCAGCAAGGAGCTCTCCTGTCACTGTCACAGCACACATGGCATGGAAGAACTTCCAGTCTCCTGCCAAAGACACCCGAGTCAAAGCAGTGCAGTTATCCTTATACAGCTGCCTTGAAGATGCACAGACTGTCCCTCTCCTGTTCATAAAGTGCGTGGTTTTTAATGGGTTTCATTTGCTGCCTTTGGAATTTTCCCTGCCTGCAGTGAAGGCATTGATTGGATGCATTGCCAGGTAAATCATAACATCAATATTTGAATTTTGAGGTACTTGGCTGGAAAAATACCTTTTGTGCTGGGCAGAGCAGGGTTTGTTGCCAGAGCTGTTGTGTACAGCTCTTGGAGAGGCAGCATTCCAGACAGATGTAACTGATACAGCTGGAAAAACACACGGACTGCTGGGTACAACTTCGCTCTGAAGGAGTGCTTTTGTTTTGTTGGTGTTTTTGGGTTTCTTGGATGTGCTTTGTGTGTTGGCACTGCAGTTCACAGAAATCCTGACATCTCGGGGGCCTGACTGTTCGAGGCAGTGTCTTATTCATTTTGACAGACCCACAGACTTTGTGTTTTAGTCATTGCTTTTGGTTTTGCTTTTGTGGAAGTAGGTTTGCGATTCGTAGACAAGGTACCACGAACACAAGGGCAGCATTTGTAAGTCAGAGCAGAGACACATCTAGTCCCTGACCTGCCTCCAGGAGTGGTCATGGCAGATGCCCAGGGAGGTCCATAGGAATGGATCAAGGCAAATGGTTTTGTTTCCCTTTGGATCCAAAGTCAGAGTTCATTTCTTTTTGAGTAAAAATAATTTACTGTTTGCGTTTCTCTCTTTTTTTAGTAATTGAGTTTGGGTTTTTTTTGTTTTGTTTTTAATTTCTTTATCTATCCCTGTGACCCACAGTGTCCTTGGGCAGTGAGTTCTGCAACGTCATTGGAGCCTATATTGGGAAAACACCTCTTTTTGCTGAGGCTTTTGAACTTGATGCCTAGTAATTTCATTTGATGCAACTGAAGCTCTTTTATAGTAAGAGACAGTAAATAACTCTCCCATTCTGTCATTCACTCTGCAGACTTCCTTACATCACTCAGTGTGGGTGCTCTTACCACCTTGAGTACATTTTACTTCAGCCTAATGTTTACTGACTAATCCTAAGTCAAGCTTATATGGCTGGAAACTAAAATTTTGTTTGTCCTCTCCTTTTCCTCCTTGTGCACAGAGGGCTGAACCAATATTTTTACTTTGGTCTTATGGTCTGGAGCTGCATATTGGGGTTATTGGTGTCTTTTAAGCAGTAGAAGTTTTCATGCTGACGGAAGCCAGTCCATTCTGAACAAAGATCAGGTATCCAAGATTCCTTGGAAAAGTTTGTTGTTATGTTCAGTGTTACCTGAGCAGGAAATAGTGCAACAGATTATAGAGAGCCTCGAGTGTATCACTGCACTTCCTTCTGTCATCTAGTTGGAGTTACTTTATTTCCATCCAAAACTGCAGTGGCTCTGTGGTTGGAACTGACTGCACGTGCTCCATGGAAGTTTCTCACTGGAACCACCAGTGGAAGTGAACAGACCATAAACATCTCCTTAGGTCGTGCTCCTTGCTGGCTGAGAACTACGTGCTTTGCTGTGCTTTGGGTTATGGTTTATGTTTTAAAGCTTTTCTTATGAAGATAAGTATTAGATACTTTAAGAAATCAAACAAAACACGTTTTCCAAGGAGTTTCTGTTAATATATTCTTACAGTGTATTGCAGTCTGTGCTTACAACGTCTTGGAAGTCCCTCAGGCTGGGTGGGCACCTGCTTTTTCCCTTCCTTGACACCACTTTTGACAGGGACAGACAGTGGCTGGTGAGGACGACAGCTGGGTGAGATGTCTGTGAGACCTTGGGGTGGGCTCGTGTTCAGAGATGTATTTTGGAGCTCCACACTGCCTGTGTTAAAACTGCCAGTTACTCACAAATGACCTCAGAGCATAAAAGTAAGAAACGTTGGGCTTGGCTGTGACTTCAGAGGATCAGACTCCAGAAACTTTCATTTGCTGTCTCTGGCAGACGCTGGGGCTGTGCCACGGTGACTAATAGGTCAGCTGGGCTGGGCTTAGAGGTGGGTTTTTGGCTACTTCAGAGGAGGATTTGCAAATGTCAGGCTCAGTAGCAGGAGTGTTCTCACTTAAGCAGATCTGACTGAAGAGCAGCGTGGGAGGGAGAAGGTAGAGCACATATGATTTGAAATGGAAATAGAGATGAGCGGGAAGTTTCTATAGTAATAATTTGTGTTACAGTT